AAGCTAGACAAAAACGTATTGAGCTTGACGCGCAAGTTCGAAGGAAACATCGTGAGCAGCTTATTACTGCTAAGCGAATCAAGCATAATTTGGATGATTTCAAAGACGATGATGCTGGTATTGATATCGCGATACTTTTTAAGCTACAAATCCTGTTTCAGAGTTTTTTGGCGGGTTCACGTGTTAAAGAACTTTACACATTGCAGAATCCGAATTTGATTTGACTCATCACGATATTGAAAAGTTGAAATCTGGCTTAAATGTCAGTACGACTATTTTTACGTTATATAGTAGTTCGTTGGTAAAAAGAATGACAGTCCTTGATCACGTGACCACCAATTAACACAGGATTCGGATCGTGACTCACGCCTTTCTAGTCTTAAAGACTTGAGCACGTACCTTGCGGATCCTCCAGACACTTTGAAGCATTTCGTTATAAACGATAACTGTATCGATATTTTGATAGTGCGTTTTATTTAATTTTCACTTAGCTGCTTAAGCGAACTTGACAACCTTACATAATAAATGTGCATATTATATTTATTAGAAATTCTTATCGGGAGTTGATCCCGAGGAACAATTACAAGCAACTTGGTGCATCACAAGTAGGTATTTTCTATATGTATAAACCTGTATTCATTAATATTCGATTAATCGATATATCATATTCCTTTAAATAATCATTGAAAGATATTGTTGCGGGTCCTAAGGAATTTTGCCAGAAAGCTTTTGCGGCAATTCCACACTTAGTTAACTTTCTTCGTGGTGAAAATATTGTAAGCCATTATTGGTTAACCTTTTAGTTTTATAATCTGTCCAAAACTACAAATGTTTTTAACTTTCCTTATTCAAGTCATTACAAGATCAAGCTGCTTGGGCAATTGGCAATCTCGCAGCGGAAGGTCCTGAATGTCGAGATATACTTCGTACAAATGGAGTTTTGGTTCCCTTGATTGAGCTACTTAATTCCAAGGTATTATCCATTAAAAATAAATATCAAGGTATATGTAAATACGTTTCTAATATTTCAATAACTAATAAAATGCGAATTATCTGATTTATTAAACTAGAATGTGTCTCTTGTT